GGTGAAGGGCTTGGCGGCGGCGGAGCGGCCTCCGGGCGGCAGGGCGGGCGGGCGGCCTCCTCCCCCGGCATCTGCGGACACAGGAGAGAGCATCAGCATCCCGCCAGACAGGGGCTTCACCCAGGCATCAGCATCCTGCCAGACAGGGGCTTCACCCGGGCATCAGCATCCCACCAGACAGGGGCTTTGCCCAGCAGTTTGCTAACAGGCTGCATCCTAAGGCACTGCAAAAACCAAGGGGGTCAGCCCTGGCAAGGGGCGTGCAAGGCTTCAGGGCCTGGCACCCAGGAACAGCAGGGGTTTTGATACCACCCCAGAGTAGCGGGTTACACCCCGAGAATGCCTGTGAGGGACAGCTTGTGAGAGACAAAAGTGGCTGCAAAGTGACACAGCAGATGTGGCCATTGCACAGTAGTAACACAGGGAGGGAAGAAATGGTGAAAAACAAGTGTTATGGTACCATCAACCCAAAGCAAGGAAATCTTAGCTTTTAAATTACATTTAACAACAACAGTCCAGCAAAAGGCTCTTTTCAACTCGTTCTAGTAGCTGTTATCTAAGGATGTACTTGTGCGCGTCAGGAAGAAGGCAGCCAGCCTTGCAGTTGAAGTACTGTTCTGTGATGCCAGGAACTTTTGTATTAATACACATTCCCAAAATAGACTGTGACACAATAGAAAATACCAGCTCTAAGGGACTGTTTTCTACACATGTGCTGAAAAATTACGTTAGTCTATAAAATATGTAAGATTCATAACACCCTACAAACCCCCATGGCCCAGGCATCCTTCAACAACTGTGAAATCCTAGGTCCTTAACCTTGCAAACCTCACTGGCCCCAGATCTTCTTTGTTTCAAGAGGCACGAGGTTTTGTGCAGCTGTTTTGCCATCCAGAAGAATACAGTGCATGCCCCAGACAAGCCTCCAACTGCTGTGTGCGTACCAGCCAGCTGGGATGCCTCATGCACTCCCTAAGTGGTAAATCATGCTGCTGGGGAGCTGACGCAGATGTACTTTCCATTTGGAAAGTAGATCCTTTTTCCTGGTGCACAAGGGAGGATTAACCTGGAATGCTCTCATGCTCCCCTCTGGTCCTGCACACCCACTGCTAAGGCAGGACCTAGTCCGCCCGACTGCACTTTGCAGGTAGCAATTCAGCATTGCTGAGATCTTTAGTTCTCGTCAATAACTAGGAGGATGGGTGGAAAGAGGAGCCTCACTGCTCCCTCATAAAACCTAGTATTAAGAATAAAATAAGATTCAAGCTGACAACTACACTTCCAAAGAGCTGAAGATATTTGAAGACTTTTTCAATCCCAGCAGGCAATTTATTGCAGTGCTATGAAGGTTTTAAGCAATGTCATTTACTTTTTCACACTGGAACTGCAAGGTCTTTCTTACCAGCATCTCGACTTGCAGCAGATCTGAGCTTTGGCATTCCAGCTTGAAAAAGGCCTCCAAGGCCAGGTGGTCCACCACCGCCAAAGCTGCCACCGCCAGCACCACCAAAACCCCCGCTGCTGCCACCGCCACCTCCTCCGAAGCCACCGCCACCACCTCCACCAGGTCCTTTGGGTTCTGTTGGGAAAAAAAATCCTCCACGTTAGGCAGAGAAGCAAGACTGATCCTGCAAAGTAATCTCTTTCATTGGAGGAGCAATGCTTGCAGCTAGGGAAAAATGGATGAGCTTTCAAAACACCTGAGTCCTTGTTCAGGTTGGATCATCACAGCTACCATCACCACCACTATTGCACCACGGAAGCAGTGGTGCAATGAACATAGTCACCGTGTTTTATTGAGCCATCACTTTCTTTTAGTCTGCTCTGGTCTGGAAAGTAGAGAAACAGTCACTATGGAGAATTTGCAACAGCATAGATGGGAGGGACCTCTGAGAATATCATGTTGTCTTTGTTAGTATCTTTGTAGCTGCTTCCCATTTCTTCATACCTTTGCTCTCTTATCCTTCCTCCTCCACTTCTCTATAAGCAAACTGAGAGACAAGGCAATTTATGGGAAATGGGGAAGGAAGGAGGGAGAGAGAGGTGTCACCTCTTGGAGAAAGCTCTGGTGATCACTTCTGGGAATGCACAGAGCTCTGTCGCTATTGATGACGTTGTGACTTATTTACTTATTTAAACAAAGCCTAGTGGGGAAAGAGATTTCATTCCCGTAGGTCCAGAAATGTAGTGACAGGATCATTAGCTGCTATTTTTTCCAACAGGCAGCAATTATTTTATCAGCCCTTCCCCCTCCTTTCTCTCTAATGTCAATATTTCTACTGTGACAACACTGAGATGCTAGAAGTAAAATGAAAGTGTTCCCACAACTACAAATACAGGGAAGAGCCCTATTCAGAGTATCACTGCAAAAAGAGCAAGTTGGGATATCTGTGGAGATCAGCTCCCAGATGATGGGCTACATGGCTGAGGATCAATTGCTAAATTTCTTGGCATCTCAATTTCTACAACTTTGGCTGGGTAAAGATTTCACTGACTTCAAAATAATTGAAGCCTGTGGATGAAAAGCACTTCTAATAATCCCACCCATAAAAAAGAAGGAAGAATGTGTTCATGGGGGAATGTTTCACCTCATCCTCTTGTTAAGCATGTTAGCTCAGTTCAGCTCTGAGTCACCTCTGGAGAAATGCTGCTACTATCGTTTAGTCTTTCATCATGATTATTTAATTAATGTAAGCAAGATAATAGGCTGCATCATTTTAATCTTACTTTAAGCCCCTTAATGCTTTTATCCAGCTCTTTACAATAGCTAGAACATGTAACTTTGCTTTCAGAGGTAATACTCAAGTGTTTAAAAACTAAGTACCTGGCTGACTGCAAGACTGTATCTATTTTTTCTATTATTCTTATTTGGCCACACTCTTTTGCGCACTTACTTCTTTCCTCATCATGCTCCTATCACAGTTCAGCCTTTAATTGCACGGCCAGACCTGGACTGAGTTGTATCACATTTGCTAATCAGTCTATAAAATTGTCTTCTTTCCCTAGGCAATAAATGCTGTTGCTCTGACACAGCAGGCCCTTGTACAAGAGCAAGTTGGGATATCTGTGGAGATCAGCTCCCAGATGATGGGCTACATGGCTGAGGATCAATTGCTAAATTTCTTGGCATCTCAATTTCTACAACTTTGGCTGGGTAAAGATTTCACTGACTTCAAAATAATTGAAGCCTGTGGATGAAAAGCACTTCTAATAATCCCACCCATAAAAAAGAAGGAAGAATGTGTTCATGGGGGAATGTTTCACCTCATCCTCTTGTTAAGCATGTTAGCTCAGTTCAGCTCTGAGTCACATAGGGTGTGAACCTCTGGAGAAATGCTGCTACTATCGTTTAGTCTTTCATCATGATTATTTAATTAATGTAAGCAAGATAATAGGCTGCATCATTTTAATCTTACTTTAAGCCCCTTAATGCTTTTATCCAGCTCTTTACAATAGCTAGAACATGTAACTTTGCTTTCAGAGGTAATACTCAAGTGTTTAAAAACTAAGTACCTGGCTGACTGCAAGACTGTATCTATTTTTTCTATTATTCTTATTTGGCCACACTCTTTTGCGCACTTCCTTCTTTCCTCATCATGCTCCTATCACAGTTCAGCCTTTAATTGCACGGCCAGACCTGGACTGAGTTGTATCACATTTGCTAATCAGTCTATAAAATTGTCTTCTTTCCCTAGGCAATAAATGCTGTTGCTCTGACACAGCAGGCCCTTGTACGTTGCTCTTCTCCTGTTTCTCTTCTGTCTCCCGAATACTTTTGCTACACAGGCTTTTCCAGGCTCCTCTCAGCACCTGCCGGGATGGGGAGTGAGACACAGCAGCAGCACAGCTGGATGGAGACCTCGTCTCCACTCAGGTAAGCGGAGCTGCTGCCCTGTGCGCGAGCACCGCAGGGGCAGGCTGGGCAAGGAGGAGCAGCCAAAAAGATAACACCCCTGCGTCACTCCAGGGGTGGCAAAGCTGCACACAGCAGAGTGACACCCAGGTGGGGCTGTGGCTCCTGGCTCTGGTCTGGCTTTAAGTGGTACTGAGGCCATTAACAAGCCAGTGGTGTTGTGCCAGGGCTGCCTTTGTTTTTATACTGTTAATGCAAAAATAGAGTCTAAAATTCCACCTTATTCTCTGTGCTCTCCTCAGTCCTGAGGGGGGTTTTGTTTGCCTGATCTGCTGCAGCTCCTCAGCAGAGCTCCTAGTAGCGTTTGCATAGTTTTCTGACTTTAGCAAACAAGGAAAGGAACTGCTTTATGAGAATAAGCAAACGAATTAACACTTGCGTTTCATAAGCAGTACTTGATTTCTCAGCTGACTTAATCCACGATGAACAGAATAATTTATTTTTATGCATACCAACTTCTGGCATTTTATTTTACCTACTTCTCTCATAGCAGTTCATCTGATGATGTATAAAGTAATTTTCTGCATTCAGATATGTAGAACCATTCACACATACAGAAACCCCAACATGCAGAATCATACTTACTGTCTAGAATTGGAGCACTTCTATCATTAGTAACAGTCTTCTTTAGCTTTTTTCCTTTGGTAATATCAGATAATAGAGCATTTCGCCCTGCTTGTTCTGACCTGCTTAGGGTTGGCTTTTCAGTATTTGCCTGCAAAATAAAATTAAAAATGAGGAGACAAAATAAACCTCAACTTCTCGCTACAAAGTTCTGCTCAAATATGCTAGTTACTCGAGACATCAATTTTTGGTTTAGCATACTGGAGTGGGTAGCATGCCACGTCTGGTTTTGTGAATGATATTATAGGTAGCCAGCCTTGTTATTGACTCGAGGCCCCAAACACTGCTGCTATTCTCACCCACACTATTCACTGAAAACAGAACACTTTTATATGAATTCACATTTTTTAACTCAAGATTTAGAGTCTCTGATTTTTTTAAAGCCAAGGCACATCTGTGGTAAATTGGAGTCTGAACAAGAACAGACTACACACATAATTTGATTACACAAAAAGGCGGACATTCTTCAAAGTCATAGCGAAGACTCCTAATATACAAATTCTGGATAAATCAGAAGAAAGATGGAGCTTTATCTACTACTTTAATTTTGAGATAAATGCTTTAAAATGGCAATCACCACCTCAACAATATAGACCTCTTCAAATAGACACAATGAAACCTTCAGAAGTATGAGGTTTGTCTTAATGGTCCTCTCTTTTCAGTTTATGTTTTGGCACAGGTTTTCAAGGAAGAATCAAAAAAAACCCAACATACACATATATGCACGCACACACGTATGTATATGGGTATTTCTTCTAGGAAATGGTAGTTCCTGAAAAGCTTTTTAACTTATCAGATCAGTGTTATGGAAATTTCCTGAAAGGTGGTGAGAGTTGCCATGGAGGGACCAACCATCGAGTCCGTATCTTGTTTGTGGTGGAAAATGAGGGAAAGACTTTTCAGTGGCACAGCCCAACCTCTCTGTGTAACCAGCTGGGTTTTCTATGAAGTACCCGAGTACTTTACAACAGCATTTCAAGAAGCCTTTGCTTTCTTGTCAGTGAGGTGTCCGACTGTTGGAGGCCAAACACAGCACAGGCTGTATTGCGGCGGAGGCTGACTTAAATCATGTCCCAAGTAGTCTCACCCACCATGGATGAGATGCCAGCAGTGGATCCTGTGCTCTGATATCACAGGCTGGCTGAGAGGACTATGCTGGCTAAGAACTATCCTTACCCAATTTAAACAATAAGATTGATTTTTTCCAGCTCAGGTCATGTAAGTACAAGAGTAAAACAAGGGAGAAAGTGGGAGTACGTGGCTGGAGAAAGGCAAGGGGAGAGCAAGACTTTAATTCCCCTGACTTAGACAAGCTGTTGAGGAGCTGTGCCTCTCTACCCAGGGTGCCTACACCAGATCAAACCACCAGTGTGGGAGGAAGAGGAGGATGGAGAGTCAATGTGGCTAGTGACATCCATATGGGCACTGGAAGGGAGTGGAAGTGGTGGTCCCTCTTGTAGGATCAATCATCAACTGTAAAGAAGTTTTCGGAGAGCTTTCCCCAAATATCATGCATACTCTTGTCCACATCTCAATGCCTCCGGACGTCTCATTCAATATGACAAGCAGTAACAGAGTATAAGGTACATTGGACAGTGTATAAGGTACATTTTCCTACTGTAAAACTTACCAAGGCCAGTGTTGGGGGTGGAGGAGGAGCTGGAGGTGGAGGCACAGGCATGGTGGAAGGCTGAACTCCGTCTGGTCTTGCTAAGAAACCTGCACAGCAAAACACAGAAACATACAAGGCCCAGAGGTTAATAGATTTTAATAAATAAATTTCTACTCAGCTAAAAAAACATCCTTGCAGCTAACAGGTTTATCTGCTACATTTTCTAAGTCTAAATAACCTGTAAAAAGCACATCATGTTTCATTGTATGGAAACCAGCTGCACCCTTAAACAGGGACTCCCTGTGTGACCCCCCCATTGCCATACAAACTCACAGACATACATATCCAGTTTTGCACGGATCCCCATTGCCATACAAACTCACAGACACACATACCCAGTTTTGCATGGATCCCCATTGCCATACAAACTCACAGACACACATACCCAGTTTTGCATGGATCCCCATTGCCATACAAACTCACAGACATACATACCCAGTTTTGCACACACACACACAACCCACGCATTGCTATGGCAATGCACAAAAATGCAACAACAAAATTGAACTCTGTTTAATCCAACAATCTTGTTCCTGCAGAACAGCAGCACATCAACTCTTACTGGAAGAAGGGATCATCTCTTTAAGACGATACTCAGAAAGAGATGCTGACCATTTAAAGCCCTTAAATTGCTGGAAGATTCACCCCCTCGGTGCATACACTGTTAGGGGTAGAGTGGAACAGCAGAGCTCTAGGAAAGACTCATGCTTCTTCCTTTCTCCCTGCTTGCTCTGAAGACTCCAAGCTCTATCATCACCTATGAACACATCTTCTTCCTCCTCAGGAGCACCACACAGAGTCATGCTCTGTGCCCTTTCCCAGAGGAGGAAGAGCCCACCCCACGCAAAACTTCCAAGCTAGGGCAATCCTAGGAAGGTCACACCTGAGATTTAGAACTTCATTGTAATGAAAACATTAAATGAAAACAAAGAAAGAAGAAGCATATAGGAATTTTTTTTTTTTTTTTTTTCAAGTCACAAAGGCTTTTTGTGGCATTTTGGAACACTGCTTGCTGGAACTGTGCCTATCAGAGGCTCTGGGGCTTTTCTAAAGGTGCTATGGCATTTCAGCATGTGCTTTGCTCTTGCCCATTCACCTGAGCCAGCTTTAGTAAAAGGGATTTGCCAGCATTTATATAATGTTTGCACAAGACAGGTAAACACAGTGGGAATAGAAAAAAGGGTTATTCTCCAGACAACCCCAGGCTGACGGTTGAAGTCCCCAGGGCAGTTATTTACAAGAATACACAGTTCTTATTTTCTAAGTCACTTAATTGTTTCTGATAAAATCATGGAGAACTGTAATAGCACAGCATCTGCCAAATCAACTTTAGTACAGTACCCTTTACAGTTTAAATGAGCCTTAGGAAAATGTTCTGAACAGAACAAAATGACATTTGCAGTGAGGGTTTGAGGTGAGTCACCACCTACAAAGTCTATAGTTGGCTCTGAGATGATCCATGATACACGTGCAAGAAAAAGAATGGTTAGAAGTACAGACTTATCTCATCAGATGCTCATGCTTCAAAAGAATTAGAATATAGCTATAACACCCCTCCCCCCACGCACACACAAATTGCTGAGCTACCTTCTTCCAAGAAAGCTTTTCTGACATAAGACTTTAATGGATTTTTTTCTAAAATCTTTAGGGAGGAAAGGGCTTGGAAAGGAATCGGATGCATCACTCCTAGCTCTGGAAGACTATCTAGAAAAAAAAATGGAGTTCAAAGAGGCGTGAGGCGCTACCACTGTCTGTAGTGCTTGCAGCTTTTCTTCTCCTGTGCTGCAGAAACTCTTTCCGGTTGCTGCGAAAGAGCAAGCGGAGCAGAGGGGAAGCTGGCGGGTGGACGGACAGACTGACTGACAAAGAGGAAACTGTGCGAAGCCAAGCCTACGCAGCACTGTGCAAACACACGCGTTCTCAAAGTCCTCTCATCAGTCATCTGCTGCGTTTCTGTGCATCTTATGGCATCTCCAGAGAGAAGCACCAGCTTCACATTCTGGGGGTCTGCTAGAATTCAGTTATATTCCTGTCTTCCATATTTCTAGCTCTCAGTCATTACATAAAACTCTGCACAAAGCCTTATCCTCTCCTGATCTGCTTATCCTAAATGCAAAATTTGAAATCTGAAGCCTATTAAAAGCACCAAGACTAATGCTGCTTTGTTCTTCAGCTTCCTGTTTAAAAAAATAGTCAACAGGAAAATTATTTCTTACAGCAGACCACAACCATCCTGTTTCTTAACACAGTCTTTTCACAGCTGCAGTTGTCTCTAGCTTAACTGTGCCATTAGGCTATTTCATCAAGCTTTTAACTCCTTCAGCTGACAAAAAAGTAGAAATTCTGCTCTCTGCACTGCTTTGATAAGAGGCCAAAGCAGTCTGGATAACGCACTGTGAGTCTCCTCAGCACTCCACGTACCATGGGAAAGTTTCTGGAGCAGGCAGAATACAGTTTGGTTTAATATCAGACTTTTAAATGAATTCCTTAAGGCAGCTCAGACCTGAATGCAGCACTTGAGCCAGCTGGTCCTTGAAATGCTTTCTCTAAAAAGCAGTATTTTTGTGAATGCTGTAACCTGTCTACCTGCCTGTAAGTAAAGTAATTGCCTTCTGCGCAGTTGTGCTGGTCCCTTCTACTTTTTTTATTTTTTTACTAGGTTGTTTTAGATCAGCTACATAATGAATTGGTGGGGACAAGGGGGAAGCAAGTCAATGCTTGAAGCCTGAGTTCTCTAAGCAGAAGCCACTCACTACCCCAGAACACATCCAGCCTCTCTAAAACTCTCCCTTAACACATTATTTGTGAGGAGGTACGGGGGAGAAGGGCACTGGGTGCCCCCTCTTTCCCTATCCCATCTTCCAAAGGGATGACATCTTCTGATGTACCTGTAGTCACTGACTGCACACTAGCCAGTATCTCTTCTGGTACCAAGGGGCTTTCTTGAGAAGACAGGAGTGGAAATTTGGTACACAGCTGCACGCTGGTAAGCTTAGCATTTAGCTATTGCTGAACAAGCCCTGTAGCCCCCAGGGCAGTTACCAGGAGAGTCTGGAAAATGGTATTTTGGAAGCACTGGACAAGCTTCTGTAACAGGCCCATCTCAGGCAGAACTGGCTTGCAGTTTAATGCAAGCATCCTGCAGAGCTGTTTGCTCACCGTGTTCTAGAGCACACATCTCCCTTAGGAGCCATCAGAAAAGAGACCATATGGCATGACTCAGAAACCTGCATGCACAAAAGTATAATGCATACACTCACAGAGCCAGTGAAACACCCCAGCTTGTAAAATTTTTGCTTAAATCATAAGTTACCACACTACTTCACTCTTACTTTTGTCACGCTCTGATCCTGCTCCTGCAGCTGAGAGAGAATTTCAGAAACTTAAGCTGAAACTTTGCAGCAAGAAATGGCACCTCTGTCTTTGAAGTTCTAACCCGCCCTTGCTGTTTGGTTGTTAGGCTTTTTACAATCTATTTCTTTGACTTTTTGTCAGCCAAAAAACCCAGCACACTCTGGATTTTTAAATTTGATTGCTATAAACCTGTAGGCAGAATAATAACGTACTGAAGAGATGCAGGGACCTGGGGGCTTGCCCACACAGCACAGGGGGCTGACCCTTGGGATGAGCAGCACCTCTCGGGCTGCAGAAGCAAAGCAGCTGAGTCAGCACAGTGCCCAACTCGAGTTCTGCAGCTGCTTTGTTCCTCACTAATTCACAGGAGCACTGTTTTGCACAGAGCATGGAGATGTCCTGAGATGTTGAGCACAACTCTGCAATTAGAGGGAAGCTTTGGTTTCAGCCCTACACTTCGGCAATGGACTCAGTTCATCATTTACTCTTGGTCAGTGAGAAAGAGCTGGCTTTAAGACATGGACTTTATGTTTAGTTGCAAACAATGGACACTATAAAATACCTGAAATAGTAACGGATCCACCCAGTAATAAAAGTTACCTACCAAATCTGTTAATAACTGAGTTACTCATAACACTCGGTGGTGCAGAGTGTTGAAAATGAGGCAATGCCAAAGGATCAAGGCTGAAGGGATATCAGTGCTTTGAAACCAAGGACACACGTGCTTGCGCAATTTACACTACTGCCTAGAAAATATCACAGCTTTTAAGCAGCTATAGGGAAATGTTATATCTAGCTGAGCACCGGTGGTGGGGCAGAAAGGATTACGGTAACTAACCCGCACACGTACAGCACAGTGCCGGCCCCGGAGCCCCCAGCACAAAGCCCTGCATTGTCAGGGAGAGAGAGGGATTTCCACAGCTGGCAGCAGCCACAGCAGCTGCTCTCCCGCTGCGGGGCGGGCGCCAGCAGCGCCGTGCACGCCGCTGATTCCTCCGGGGGTCCATAGCTGGGAGCCAGCACCCCACCACAGTCCTCACCCTGGCTCTGCCACCCCTCAGCTACAGCCCCTTGGCGCCAGGGCAGCCACCCTGCAGACCAACACCACCTTCTCGAGAGGGGTGTGCACGCAGCCTGCAATCTGCTGCCTTTTCAGAACGTCATCCCAGCCTTCAGCAAACGAGGTGCCCACCTCATCCCAGGTAAATCATATCATCACATAAGGAAGCTCTGATTTTTGCAAGCTACAAGGCACGCCTGGCACTCACTATCAGAAATGTCATTAAAATATTATGATATGCAACACGCGGTAAAAACTAATTTCATTCAAACCCCAAAGTATAAGACAAAGTATATGATGCATTCTGCAAAGAGCCCCTTGCTCTGTAAAGTAATCCCTAAAGAGCAATAAGCAAAAGTGGGACTAAACTGAACTTGGTGAAATACAACCTCTGGGCATTTCAGATTTAATTTGGTACTTCAGAAGTCATTTCAGGAGCATGATAAATGCTGAAAAGAAAGGTGACGTTTAACGTGGGATGGAGAGTGCGAAAAACCGTCCCGCAAGTGCAGTGTTTGCATCCAGTCAGCCATTTTGAGCTCTTTGAGGCACCCCCTCTTAAACGCCTTGAGTCAGAGGCAGACAGACAGCTCACTGTGGTTAATCATTTCCTGCATGATTAATTTCCAAGCA